AAATTCTAAAAAATATAAAACTTTGGGGAATGATTGTAGACATGATAATAAACACGCTACAATATGAAGATAATAAACCATGTTTTGAAACTATGCATAATGATTATATAGACTTAATAAGATATGTATATGATTATTGCTAAGTCCAAAAACTAAGAATATGACATTTTCACAAATACATTAGAGAATGAAACATAGGAGTATGAAAATATATTTGTTTCATATCTAAGTAGTTAAACCAAATCACAATAATAAATATGAAATATGTAATTTCATATTTATAAACATGAAAACAAAAACTTGTGTTGTATATATATGTGACTACATATATATAAAAGGAAACCAATAAATGTGTGTGTATATGATATCGAGCTTAACGTACTTAACACACATAATATAAAATCTATACTAAGTTACCCAAGCTTGATCTTGATCTTCATTGTAGCTCAACTTGGTACACATGCGGATGAAGCTTGAACTTGATCTTTAACTTTGAATTGCATTACTTCACTGACATTCCGCCAACCTCCTTTGGATATCATCGTTGAAGCTCTATTCCATCCATCCTCCAACTATGTTGTTTGTCTATAATAAATAAGAAAACACAAATACTTGACAAACAATATTAGTGGTAAATTGTATGTTAAACATCATCAAAACAAGAAGGCCAACATCATGTACGCCTCATCAAATTATGTGAAATCCTTACTAATAACTATCTTCTTGTCCTGTGGATCCCATAACTTAAAGCCTTTAACCCCATATCTAAATTCCATAAAAACTACCTTCCTTGTCCTCAGATTCAATTTACCATCACTAACATGATAATAAGCAGGACACCCAAATATCTGAAGTGACTCATAGTCACTAGCTACCGAACCAGACCAACGCTCCAAAGGAGTCTTCCCCTATATCGCAATGCACAACAACCTATTAATGAGATGACTCACATAAACCAACGTATCGGTCTAAAAGGATCTAGGCAATCCATTCTGTGTTATCATATATCACACCTTCTCCAGCAAGGTACGGTTTAATCTCTCAGCCATCACATTCTATTGCGGTATCTCTAGAACTGTGAAGTATCGCTTAATACCGTGATCCTAATAAAATTGCAGAAACGGATCACTTTTATACTCTCCACCGTTATCTAAACGTAGAGTCTTCACTTTTTTACCTGTCTACAGCTCCACTTTCTTCTTCCACTCTACAAAAATATCCAGGACCTCATGTTTATATTTCATAGGGTATACCCAATTCCTCCTGGAATAGTCATCAATAAAAGTGATAAAATAGTTGGCCCCACTAAGTAATATGTTCTTGGAAGGGCCCCAAATATTTATGTGAACGTAATCTAATATACCTTGGGTGTTGTGAATAGCGGTGTCAAACTTCACTCCAGTCTTCTTCCCAAGTACACAATGCTCACACAACTCCATCTTGCAGGTCTTAGCACCTTTCAATAGTCCCTGTTTTGCTAATGACTGCAGAGACTTATCACCTATGTATTCTAATCTCATATGTCATAGGGTGGTAGTATCCTCCTCTGTAGTGATAGAAGATGCCAGACCCCGTGTAACTATCTTTTCCTTCAAGTAGTATAGGTTGTTTTCTCTAACACCTTGCATCACCAACATAGAACCACTCGTGACCTTCACGGTAGCATCCTCTAAGATCACCCGATAACTAGCTGCCTTCAAAGTACCAAGAGAAATGATTCCCTTTGTCAACTACGGCACAAACCTCACTTCTTTCAACTCGCTCATCACACCGTCATGCATCCTAATCCGGACTAAACCAATACCACCAATAGGGCATATGTGGTCATTTTCCATAAGCATGACATCCCCTCCTTCTAGCTCCTCAAAGCCGGAGAACCAATCCCTCCTAGGGCAAATATGATATGTGGCTCCCGAATCCAATATCCACTCTGTAGAGTCGGTATAGCAAACCGACTATAGTGTAGGGCATGAATAGCCCGAAGAATCTGAATCTGAATGTTCGCCAACACCTTTTGCAACATTCACTTCTGAAGCTTGTACAACTTTCCCTTTGTTCTTCCCGACTTTATCCTTCCACTTTAGGCAGTCAATCTTCCAATGTCCTTTTTCTTTATAATATCGATATTGATTTCTACCAACATTCTTAAAGGCACCTCTGTTCTTCAATTTTGAGCGGTTGACTTGGCGATGGTTTGGACTATGACCTCGAACTGCTAATGCATCTCTTAATGCCTTCTCGGAGGGTTCGCCAACACTCTTCCTTAACTCATAATTCATCAAAGCTGAGGTCACATCCTTATAGCTAATAGTAGTTCTTCCGTTGATCATAGTGAGAACGAACTACCATAATCAACCTCGGGTAATGAACACAAAAGTAGCATCACTTTGTCTTCATCCTCAACCATGATGTACACATTGACCATATCTAAAAGTAGCTTCGTGAAATTATTTACAAGCTCCCTAATGGAAACTCCCCTCTTCATCTTGAATTAGTAAAACCTCTTCTTCAAGTGAAGCCATCTCAATGCTCTTCGTAAGATACTTCTCATTGAGCGTTTCTCACATTCTCTTCGCCGACGTTTCGTCCATCATGTCATAAATAAGATCTGACGTTAAGCATGACCGAATAACTCCACAAGCCTTACTATTCATCTTCTTCCAAACATTATCCTCCATGGCAGCGGGTTTCTCTTGTAACTCAGGAGTCTCCTAAAAATTCTATGCATCCAATGCATCCATCACCTGGCATCTCCATAAACCAAAATTTATCTTGCCATCAAACTTCGGAATATCAATCTTGGTGTTATTGATGTTCAGACTCTGTATCGCCTTCGTAGGAGACAAACTTGATGTGCTTGCTTCTCCCTTGTTGTCGATCTAACTCTTCAAATTGGAATCATTCACCGACTCCTTCGAAAAAGCCTTTAGCCAAATCTGAAGCTCTGATACCACTTGTTGTGTACGGCAGAAGCTCAAAACCACACGAACAAGAATGAGATAAATCACAATTAATAAGCTAAACACAATACCATAGCAAGACAAATGAATTTTACATGGTTCGACAAATTATTTACGTCGGGGGGGGGGGGGGGGGGGAGTTCTTACTATTAGAAATTAAGAGAATACAAATAGGGCTACAAATCTCACCACATAAACCCTAAAACAAAGCCTCTAGGTCTCTCACAATTCTTCCATAATTGGATGCAGCAACCCCCTCTCAAAGACTGCTCAAAATGTACTTGCTTAACCTTAATTAATTAGGATTAAGATTATATATCAACTCAGAACGAAACGGGTCAGAAAACCAAACTCAACTGTAGACTCGACTCGCGGTCGACCGTAAAACCACGTGCGGTCGACCGGATCCAACGACCGAGACTAAAAAAACCCCTACAGGGTTTTTCTGGTTGATCGCAGAACCCACGCGGTCGACTGTGAAAAGTCCAGAGACTTTTCTCAGTCATGTGCACGTTTGCGGTCGACCGTCGCGTCATCCGAGGTTGACCGCGACTCCTTGCTCTCTTCTCTAAAAATAAAATATATGCAGTTCGTATGCATTTACAGGTTGGAGCACTTGGTAAACTGTAGAAGATCACAACACAATCTCTCTCGCGCAGATCCTACTCTAGATGCAAATTGATATTTAAAAGTTCTTTAATTATGGAAGAAGCTTTGGAGTTTTCTTTTGATGAAACGATTGGCTAAATTAAATAGGCAAATTATGCTTCATTATCCCACGTATAGTTCTCATGCAACTTTGTACGTTAATTAGGGCTTCATCCTTGTAAGGGGAATTAAAGTATTTATTGTTCCTTGAATTTCATGCTTTTATTTTTTTTGGTCACGCCCAGGTATATGATATGTTGGACTTGACGGTCTTACTTTGGGGCCAGGGTCAAAGTGAAAAATCTTCAAGGGGTTTAGTGGAATAAAAGAAGTTTATGGGGCTTATGTGCAGAAACCATCAAAGTTTAGGGGTTTAAGGGAATTAAAATACTTAAGGGGGTCATCTGCAAAACTAAGTTAAGGGTGTTTTCTGAAATCAACTCTTAAGTAAATGCATATCCTAGCACATCCACTTGCGTCAGCTTTGCTTAAATCCCCATCTAGAAGAAAGCTTCACCTGCCACTTCTGTTAGAATTACTCACCAGCTTAGAGCATCTCCAACCCAAAAACTTAAAATGGTGTAGTTTTTACACCAAGTTGGTATAGTTTTTACACCAAATCACTATTCCATCTCCAACCATTACATCAAATTTTACACCAAAAAGAATATTCATTTTATTTACAAACTATAAAATGGGATATAGTTAGAATATTTAATTTGTTATAACAAACTATAAGGACAAACTTGGGAAAAACCAAAATCTCCATATCTACAGTGTTACGTCAAATCTGGCGTAACACTATAGCACATCATCAAAATGGCGCTGAATTTGCAATCCGGTTGGAGGAAGATTTGGCGCAGTTTTTGCTCCATTTTAGGTTTTTGGAGTTGGGTTGGAGATGCTGTTAGATTGTTCTAGAACAACGTTCTAGAACTCCTTTCTAGTAACGTCGTACAAAATATCTATCAAGAAGTTTCTAGGAAGATTCAAGTGTATGGCTAGTATTTATTTTTCTAGAAACTTCTTAGTAATGTATGACTAGGATTCAGGGGCGGACCCATGCCTGTTCAAACTGGTTCAGCCACCTCATATTTATAAGTTTTCTATATATATTATACATATCTGTTAGTAAACATAAGTGACTTATAGCCCAGCGGTACTAGTGTTGCCTCTATCTTCTAAGAGGTCACAGGTTCGAAACTCCCAAAGCTTTCTTAGTTTGCTATTTACCAACCAAGTTCTCTACTTTATTTTCTTTCTTTTTTTACCTCCACCTTATTTTTTGCTTCTTTTCCTTTCAATGTATCCATTTATGAAGATAAGCCAAATAATTGTTTTTATATATCTACTTTTCTCCTATTTTCTTTATTTTTGCTTCTCTAAAAATAGTTTTTTGCTTTCTTACTAATTTTTTTTTTTACGTCTCCAATAGTAGTACTTGAAAAAATAAAATTTGAACCACCACATGATAGGGCGTGGATCCGCCACTGCTAGGATTAACTCTTCCACACACTTCCTAGCCCTCTTAAACAACTACAAATAGTGGTATTGAGCTCTCATTTGGGCAAGCAAGCAAGCAAGCAAGAAGTGAGCTTGAGAGTTTGAGTGTGTAGTGTAGGCTTGTGTTAGTGTCCACAAAAATAAAAGAGTTGTGTGAAAATGAGATGTTCTTGTAAGAGCAAGTGATGTACTCTCTAGTGTTCTATCAATAAAAGTTTCCTTTGTGTAGAGAGGTTGTATTCTACAAATCCCGTCAACTTCTTCCACTATCTTTCTATAAAGGTACAAGTCAGCTTAAGTTCATACTACGATGTCATTTGTAGCTTTTCAGTGACCTTTCTTGGTTTTTCAGACCAGTATTAATTCTTAATATGAAAGGATCAAGTAAAGTAAGGGTTCTATTTGAAAATTATAATCATGCATAATTGATTTCCATATGGTGTAGACCACATTCTATAAAAATCCCAGGTCTAGATTTGCAATTAGATTAGATGCTCCACTATTGATTTACTTTTCAGAGAACCGCATGTGACACTCAGTTTGTGAATAAAGCATGAATTGTAGAGTACCCTTTATGTCTAAAGAATTCCAAATTATTTTCTTAGAGAAGCATCTTCTTCTTTTCAACTAAAGAGTACTGTAATTTACATGTGTGATACAAACCCAATATAATATATCTCAATACACGGTTAGCGAAGGAGTTCTGACCTTGGATTTCTCATATAAATTGGGAGGATGATTGTCGTAGTGATGCAAAGTAGTTTGTTTCTGAGTTCTGGTTATGGCTAAGGTTTATCCTCGAGCACACCAGCTGTCTTCTCCTTCTTCCTTCTCTCCAGAGATACAAACTCTTACAATGTGGATGAAATCGCTCGTGTTCAATGGAAATGGATGCGCCATTTTTGATTCTGATGGCCGGATAGCCTATCGCGTTGATAACTATGCTTCGCAGTGCAGCGATGAGGTGTATCTAATGGATCATGACGGCAGGACTCTCAGTAAAATACTTAGAAAGGTAAACTTATGACAGGAATTAAATGTATTGCACGTCACTTAATTAGTAAATTGTTGACTAAGATTATTTGCTTATTGTACAGAAACTGAGAGTTCGTAGTCAATGGGAAGGATATCGATGTGATGGATCAATCGGAGAAGGGCAAGAACTCTGCTGGTTTAGAGCTCGAAAGGCCGGCAGGATATTGAGAGGAGAAAAGAATTTTGAAGCCAAAGTTACAGTTGGGAGTGGAAGTAGCTATAAGATTCTGGGTTCAGCGTGTAAGGGCGAGTACAAGATTTTGGACGTTGGAGGAGAGGCAGTAGCAGAGGTACGGACTGAGAACATCTTGTAAATTAGTATCAGAAAAATTGGTTTAAGTAAAAAAATTAAGCATTGGTGAGAGTTTTATTTGGTGATTTTCAGGTGAAGAGGAAGCATACAAGCTGTGGAGTTGCACTTGGAGAGGATGTGTTAACACTGATGATTGAGCCTAATCATGATCAGTTACTGATTATGTCACTCGCGATTGTTTGTGGACTCATCAACCACAGCATGTGATGTGATTCCCAGAAATAATACCCAGTTCTTTGTTGTGCTCCTGCTGCTGTTGCTGCTGTGCTGTTTTTTCATTGTGTGAACTGTTTGATTTTTTAATAATTTTTTTTGAGTTAACCAATAGCACGAGGCATTGGGATCAAACTCGCTACTCTTCTCATTCAGTTTTTGAGATGGAAACATCTTTCTTTGTTTGAAACAAGTCAGAAGAGTTTTTTTATTTTTATTTTTATTTTTTATGTGCATTAAGTTTCATAAATTCATCATGTACTGTCTTGAGGATTTGGCTATATACAAGTATTTGAGCAAAAAATTGTGGATTATACAACCTCTACCTATTGCTTCCAATTCTTTTGATGTGCTGTCATTATCAAATGTTCTGATTTAGTAGTCGACTCCAAATATTTGGGATGAAATCCTTTTTGTTGTTGTTAATGTTTTAATTAGATGTCTCGTATATAAAATCATAGTGATCACTCGCTTATAGTATTACATGTGTATATCGATGTAATTAGTTGCTCTTGATCCCTTGCACTAATAGCGCACCAAAGAAACAATTGCGATTGGATTAGTTCACAAATCCTAAGCCCACAAATTCAAATGTAAATATTTCTTTGCACATCATTAGGATTATGGACCAAAACCAATATTGGATACTTCTTCAGTACATTACAGCCTTGTAGAAAAACTGGTATGCTGTTAGATGTTATACATGTAAAGAAGCCAAAACAGTAAAATTCAAGTAACATATTTATGGAACTTTAAGCGAAGGCATTTTACTATCAACAAGGCTATTAGCTGATAACAAAATAAAAATCAATAAGTAAGAGAGTGTCAATCCAAAGTCCCTGCGTCTTGAAAAGAGTCATCAAAAATCAAATGCTAGTTCAACATAAAACAATCCTCGTGAAATCAATGATTAGTCATCGAAATGCGCGGGCGAGGCGAGGTAGAAGCTCCCGCATGTATGGACTCCAGCAGGCTAGTCCATCTTCCAACAGATATTAATGCCGATTAAAAGATATTAACAAATATATCCTAGTAAGATAGATATTCAATTGAATTAAAGCAAAGATATATTTGCAAAGGGCAAAATAAACAAGAAACAATATAAACAAATAGTGGACACAAAGAGCAAATCAAACACAATAATATGATCACGGAGTTCAGTCCTTCCGTCCTACGTCTTCGCTCCCCACTCCCGGGGAGAATCCACTATCACGACACACCCGGTTTGAAAGCCGGAAGTACTTCTCTACTCACTCGGTTTTCTAGTTCACCGAAAACACTACAAGACACTCACAATGTACATACACAAACTACAACCTCAAGTGTTGGTCCTAAAGTATCGCCTCCCTCAAGTGCTCGGCTTTACTACCTCTCACTAGGGTTTACTACTGACGCACTCCTCTTGGTATCGACTACGTCCTCACCATACACTCCTCTCAGTGTAAATGTGTATTATAAAATGATACTCTCACAATAAGGCTCAATTATAAGATTTGTTCTCTATAATAGATGAGAACACAATTTAGGCTCACTCTCACAATATCACAATCTCACAACTCAATATATAATGTATGAAATACTAAAAGCTCAAATGAGGATGTGTATGATAAAATGAGTTTAAATAAAATCTAACTCAATTAGCAAACTAGCAATATGAAAATCAGTAATAAAATTGCTAGAGAAAAGAGTTAGAAAAACTTTTCTATAAACACAATAAGAGGATGAAGAAGATTGATGATGAATTCCTCAATTGACGATGTAAGCTTCCTCTTTTGTAAACAAACACCAAACTCAAACTTGAGAAGAAACAAACTTTAAAACCCTTTAAAACTTGTTTTTAAAACTTTCTTCAGTAGTTTGGAAGTGAAATAGTATGGGGTATATATAGGATGAAGAAACAAAGCCCCAAAACCAAGAAAAACCAAGCAAGAAGACAAAATAACGAAAACTGGAAAATTAACTGTTACAGCGTCGGTCGACTGATGAGCTGAATCAGTCGACTGACGAGCTGACCGTTACAGGTAGCTAACAACTCGTCGGTCGACTGAAGAGTTCATCAGTTGACTGATGACCCATCAGTCGACTGATCAGTCGACCGAATAAGAAAACAAAAACTTTTTAAGATTGCATGTAGTTTTATCAGTCGACTGATAAAAATCATTAGTCGACTGATAATTGGTTTTTAGCCTGTAATGAATAGTAAACATGAATTTCAAACCTTTTTTAAAAATAACAAATAAATTCTAAAAATGTAAAACCTTGGGAAAAGTTTATAAACATGAATATGAACATGTTGGAAAAGGAATTTTTCAATTTTCTCTTACCATTTGTGAAATCTCAGAAATATTCAAAAACACTAAAATACATGTGTTTATAAACATGTTAATTTTGACATTTAGCTCAAATCAAATTCTGAAAACTTGTGTAATGCTTTTATGGACTTAATAATAGATGTTAATAATGCATGTATAGTCCAAAGCATATTAAAACATATTTTGCATAAAAACACCTATGATTTGAGAAATATCACAAATAAGTGTGTGTGTAAATTTGAGCTTGAAGAATTAGTACACATTACATATAAAACTATACTAAGTATACCAAGAATGAATCATATGAAACTTGAACTTGATTGGTTGACTAGATTTGCATAGGCTTCACTATCAATGTAGCTCATTTTCCTGTGTATACTAAACAACACAAAACAAAATACTAAAACCAATATTAGTCGTAAATTGTTTATAAAATCACCATCAAAACAAGAAGGCCAACAATCTCCCCCTTTTTTATGATGACAAACAATTTACCAATATGCATTGTAAAATCAATAAACCTTGGCAACATCAGAAATAGGGGGAAAACATAATGAGGGCTAAGAGCCCCCCCCCCCCCCCCCACCCNNAGTGAGGATATAAAACAAAAAAAGATATAGGGATAGCTCCCCCTATCAACAAGTCATAAGGTATATATGCAATAAAAATCATGGCAAACATGTGAGCAAGCATAAATATAAAATATGCTAAACACAACTCATATACAAAGATAGACTAAGAGAACACATATGCATGTATCATGAAGATAAGGTGTCATAAAAGTCTAAAACATCAAAACCTAACAAAAATTTCAAAAAATTAAAATCCAAAATCAAACATCAAATGATTTAAAAAAATTACAAATTATCCACCATAAAACATGATTGATTGAGAGCACAAATAGACATATAAAAGGTGTATCAATACCCAATCATAAAACATTATATGGATATAAACAAAAGTAGATCATGAAATCAAATAAAGTAAAATCATGAACCTCATGAAGGTTCAAATAAAAGCCTCAATTGATACAAAAAGAAATTCAAAGTGTATATATTGTATCATTTTTGACAAAAGCAAGAGAGGTGAGCATATCAAGCTCTTGAAACAAGTTTCAACCCAAATAAAGTTTTTAGCATCCGGTAAACCTCCCGGGGGTTGCTCAAACCATTAACCTCTCATATAAAGAAAAAATATGGTTGATCAATAAAGAGAATTTTCTTTGTGAAATTTGATCATTCCACATATGCAATTTATTATAAAGCATAAATAGATGATCCATAAGCACAAACACATTAATATCATCATATAAGTGGTTTATAATGAACCCAAAAACATAAACACATTGTTCAAACTTAAAACATTGAAAGCAAAGTATGATAATAAAATGATGTTTTAACATAGAAAAATCATCTTGATAAAAATTATATCAATTCATAAAGGATGAAAACATGAAAAAAATATGAATGATAACTTTTCAAATCAAATACCAAGCATAAAATTATTTTCAATTTTGTTTATAAAATTTAGATAAAAATCATCTTTAAGAACATGAAAAACTAAAAAGCTGAAAATTTTGTTCGTAGATCAAATATGTTTTGGCACCCAATTACTCTTGGTACCGAAGAGTCTAAGGACATGACCCCTATCATTAAAGCTCAATGTCCTGTTATGATCCCTTTTAGGCGTGTATGGTGCACGAACGCGGTCAAAACAAAATTCATGTAAGTGACCTTTACGATTGCAATATGTGCAATGAAAAGGTTGAAAAAATTTGTGTTGACCAATTTGTCGTGCACGAAAATCATTTGCAAAAATAGGTTTATCTTAAAAATTATTTTGCAAATGAGAAATTCTCTTCAAATCAAAACAAAATTTGGTCAAATAATCAAAACAACCACAAAAGTCACACTTGTACACATGAGCATGTTTATGATGTGTAATATGTGCATGTACATATGTATGAGATGAAGAAGCTTGATGGGATGCACAATGATCAATATTTTTAGGCATAGTGGATTTTTGTGCATCATAACAAAATTTAGCAATACGGCTTTTTCGGCCGCAAATGGTACACTTATAAACTTTGTTATACATGTGTGCATAGTGAATAGGTTTTTTAGAAACAATTTTATTGGAATTTGCACACACGTCCATAAGCTTTTCATTGTTGGCAATGCATGTATTTAATGTTGAATCTAAGGATAATATGCGTTTCTTTATTTGATTCAACTCACCATTTGAAATATGTGCATTATCACAAGAAATAGAACAAACAAGAGTATCTAATTTATTTTTATTAGCCTCTATTTCTAACATGACATTATTTTTGTCATGAGTCAAACTTGAAATATCCAATCTTAATTTCTCATTGCATTCTTTAAGATTAACATTTTCATTTGCAATGAGATCAAACTTACAATCTTAATTTCTCATTGCATTCTTTAAGATTAACATTTTCATTTGCAATGAGATCAAACTTAGATACAAGGGACTCATGAACATTGCATTCTTTAAGATTAACATTTTCATTTGCAATGAGATCAAACTTAGATACAAGGGACTCATGAACGGATTTTAATTGAACATTCTTGCTTTTTAGTTCTTTAATTTATATTTCAATTTCTTATGGTCATACAATAATTTTTCATATTCATGTGCGAGTTCATCAAAAGTAAAATCATCATTGCAATAATTTTACATGAAGATGATGCTTCTTTTGAACTTGAAGCCGAATCCTCTAAGTCTTGTCGGATTGCCTCCAAGTCCCCTTGATGTGCTTCTATTAATTTCCACAAGGTGTAAGCACCATCAAAAGAATCAAGTTTGTTAGCAAAAGATAAGCCAAAGGCATCAATAAGAAATTCTAACAAAGACTTGTTCATAGCAAACAATCTAATATCATTATCACTCCACTTGAATTTTTCCATAGTGGGTACAATATAAGCGCATTCAATAATTACCCATTTTTCGATATTTATAGATCTAGCAAAAAGGTTAAATCTAGCACACCATTGTTCATAG